TCTCTTCGAACCCTGTCGCTTCGTCCTCGGCCCCTGTAAAGGACAAGCTAAGTACACCACCTTCATCCACATTAGGGTCGAGCTCAGCATGGAGTGGCGACCGAAAACCAAGTAAATGAACCGAGGGTTGCTTTCCACCAAAGCGGACAAGTAGGAAGACGACAATCCTTTCGCCCGGGGTGGGGCCGCCAGGGCGAGGAAGATGGAGACCTTTTTGGCCATGGCTAGGTCGGTCGTGAAGGCCGCGAAGGCTTGTGCAGACCCCTGGCTGAAGCTGTGGGGGTCGGGTGCAGGGTCCGGGGCAATGGAAGGATAAGTTTTTTTGGGGAAATCAATGGGCATAGAGGACCGCCGCAGGCGTGTGTGCATTAAGGGAACGCCTGGCGCCCATTGGCCAGCGACTACCCGAGGGTAGAAAGCCCTTGGCCATACCTTGCACCACCCAACCCCCCTTCTTCCCTCCCTGCCTCCCTCCCTCCCTCCTTCTCTACCGCCCCAGCCCACCCGACGTAAGCAAGCTTCTCCTGACCCGTGGCCCGAAGCACGTAGTCAACCATGGCGGGCACGTCGAAGCGCGCGAGTTCGTCGATGGAGAAATTCCAGTACGCGTCTTGGGAGGGAGAGAGGGAGACGTGCTTGTGGCTGTACCGGTTGCCTCGGTTGTTGCCTGTGGACAGCCGGACAGCCAGGGGCGGGTGGGGGAAGGGCGGAAGAAGGCGCAAATGAATGGGCCTCGGACTCACCGCGTTGCCACCCTCCCCTTCCCTCACGTCCCGTGAGCCCCATCCCCATTGCCTTCTCCTTCCCTCCTCCAGACTTACCCAGCCACACGTCAAAGCCGGCCTTGGCCAGAACCAGGGCCAAGGAATGCTCTTCTCCTCCGCACAAAAAGGACTCGGAATCCTGCATGAGCGCGTGCACCATTAAGAGAGGGGGCCGTCTAAGAGTCGAGGGCGTGACCGCATTGCTCCCCGTGCCTGTCGCCGTCGGCACGGCGGCGGAGGGCAAGGCAGGGGCCACGGCCGGCGCCGCGGCGGACCCGGGGCCCTTGGAGAAGAAGGAGGACGTGGGGATGTGTTGTTGCAAGGACTGGCTCCCTCCCCCAGATTTTCGGCCGTTGTTTTCCCCCGAGGCCTTGCGCCAGCTCCGCGCTCGCTGCGGCCCCCGGTCCTCTACGTAGGTCTCGCTCGTACTGCTGCTCGTGGCTTGCCCCGGTGCCCCGGGCCCGTCCTGTCCCGACGTTTTCGGGACCAAGCGATGCAGTACTAACACAAAGCCGTCACGGGTCAGGGCGGTATGCGTCTCCAAGATAAATGGGGTCCCTTCCACCAATGATTCTGCGAGCAAGCGTTCTCGATTCCCATTTGGGCTGGCTTTCCCGGCTGAACCCGGCGCGGCACCGCCCAACTGATAAGAAAACCAGGATTGTAGGCCTTGGGACGCCAGGTAAAATCGATCCAAGAGGGCAGGGAATGGAAAGTATGCATAAACTGTCACAATGAAAAAGCCAACGGCCTTGGCCGCGGTCAGGAAACACACGAGGTACAAAAGATGGGCCCAGTCAACGAGAACATCCGTGTATACCATTGTCTCCGAGTGTGGTCGCAACAGGTGTAAGTAAAGAACTAGTGGCTTGAATGGTGCAGATGGGCGAGCGAGAGCATGTGTATGCGTTCGTGTCTGAGGAAAAGGGTGGACATTATCTTTAGTGGCAGACCAGTAAATGTAGGATCACGATTACTGGCAGCAGATTCAAGGGAGTTCTCTAACGGGGAAAACCAAGGGATGTAGCGGGCATTCGCGACGACTTTTGCAAGTCGTGTTGTCACAGGGAGAGATTGTTCTTCGTCTTGTTGCCCGAGTGTCTTCTCCCCTGACCGCATCGAGCAGGTAACTCAACTCACCCGTCCCTCTCCGTCACGGGCGAGGCGGGAAGAAATGTTGTGCGAGTAATCGCGTGAACGTTCCGTCCATGGCGGACCCTCTCGCGGATTATACATCGTGCGGCGAGCAGCAAGTATCTGCAGCTAGCGGGCAGCACGGATCTGTTCTTCGCTTCGGGGTGCAACGCATCGTTTAGACCTCCACAAAACAAAGCGTCTCCACAGTCTTTGGACATACTTTGTGCATTTAAATCAATTAAATTACGCGTCGGGGGCCCAGCCATGCACCGTGTTGCCACCAACTTGCTATTTTTCTTTTTCACGTCCACGACTTGAGGCATAAAGCGATGAATCGAACAGCTCGGAACGGCTTATTGAGCCGCAAATCCCGCATTTATGTCCTGTGATACACGAGTAGCCAACACTGAGCCCTCCATCACTCCATGCCATGCACGTATATCTAATTAAGACACCTCTGGGAGGTGGGTGGTCGCAGGGGGAGCGGGCGCTTATTTATGTTTTTTGAATGGAATCAAGCGCGTGGAACGTTATTCGTTCCTTGAGGCGGATCCATTTGCTTGTTGCCTATCGCCCGTACCGCTTTTTTCTTTTTTAAGAACGCTTTGAGCTTTCCATTGGTTTGTACTCCACAACTTGACCATATCATGTGCGGCATATTATCCATTGATACCAAGTATCTGCGTTGTCTGAATATGTGTGTATTAGATGTGAATAGTGTCAGTGGCCTTGTAAAGGTAGCCTTCCATGCTCCAGGATCCCGTCTACCATCGGTACGTGCTTTCCTGATCTATTCTAATCCGTTCCTCACCTGCGTCTATAACCTCACACAGATTTGTTCTCTAACTAAAATTATGAAGCTCTTGTCTTTCGCTTGCCTCATCGGCGCCGCTGCCGCCTTTGTGCCCCCCATGCCCGTTACGACTCGTGCCCGCGGCGCTGTCTCCATGATGGCTGAGAAGTCCAAATCCATCCCTTTTTTGCCCCGCCCGCCTGCGCTGGACGGCACTGCCCCGGGAGACGTGGGCTTTGACCCGGTCGGGTTCACAAGCTGGCTGCCCTTGGCGTACTTGCAGGAGGCCGAGATCAAGCACTGCCGCATCGCCATGTTGGCAACCCTCGGGTGGATTGTCGCGGATTTTGTCCACCTCCCTGGTGCGTGACTGTGCCCGCCGATTTTTTGGATATGTAGAGCTGAAGCAATATGGTCTAGAATGGGGAGGCTACATGTGGAATCGCAGATTGGATGGAGATGGGGCGTCACGGCGTACGCGACGGAAACCCATGTCCCTCTCCTTCAAGATGCGTGACTTCCGTTTCCCTTTTGTTGACGGATTTTCCACACCTCTCGCTATCCCCTAAATCAGGTGATGTCCACGCTGTTAGCTCCCTGGCCGCCCACGACGTGGCTGTAAAGTCGGGCGCCCTCGCCCAAATCCTCATCTGGACCTCCATCGCGGAAGCGATCTCCGTCGTTGCCATCTCTCAGATGCTCGAGGGCTCTGGCCGCCAGGTATCTTTTACTTTCCCTCATCATCTCGCATCCGTGTTCGTATCGGACATGGTCCCCAGTGGACGGGTTCAGCGTCAGCTTTATCTTTTGTGTCTGTCCGCATGTTCCTGTAGACTTCTTTGTAGACTTCTTTGCACCCACTCGTACCCTTTCTTATATTTTTGGCATCATTTCTTCTGTATGAATAGCCCGGTGACTTCAAGTTCGATCCCCTGGGCTTTGCCAAAGACGAGCAGACTCTGAAGAAGCTGCAGCTGAACGAGCTCAAGAATGGACGTTTGGCCATGGTAAGTCTCGTAGCAAGGCAGTGATTCTTTCGAATGCACGATATTCTGCAAGGTCTCTTCTCTTGGTGGCACAAAAGTAGGTACTAAATAATATATGACTTAACGTTGTCTCTTTCACGCACAGCTCGCCTTCTCTGGCATTGTCACCCAAGCCGCCCTGACCGGCCACTCCTTCCCGTACATGTAAACCTTCTCGATTTATCTCTCCGTTCGTCAGAAAGTCAGCGTCGTCATTCTCCTCCCACATTTAAGCCCGTAGCCGTCGTGGTCGCATACATGTTGAATTCGTGTATGAAAACCTCTCGCTGGTGCATCTTGATCAACCATTTTGCTTCCAGACATAGACTTTGTATCTTCTTTGTGAGACTTCGAGAGAATATATTTTAGACAGCGTAAGTGACGTGAGAATTGATTGCGCGTGCGTGCGAGGCTGCAAGAGGCAGACAGCAAGTGTGAAGGAGAGTGGATTGCAGAGAACTAGAGAGGCAGAAGAAAAGAGTCGCGAGCGAGCATCTAGGTCTAATTTAAATTATGTCTCCGGAATTACAATCTCTAAGTTGATCTTCCATTATTTGATTTAAAGTCGTCAAATTGTGGTTCAAGGCAGAGCGATCGCCCTATGTTTGGAGAGGTCATCAGGAGATCGGGCGGACCATCACATTGGTTCGCTCTGCTCCTGTAGGCAGTGTATGGTATCCGCTTCTTCCAACTTACCCAGGTCATGGGAAGTAACAATGGCGTTATAGACTTTCAACGTCAAAATATCGAGCTGTGCAGATACGGAAGTACAACGGGAAACAGACAATGGGATATAGCCCAGCCCCCTGTGGCGGCGGCACAAAAATGTTTTCAAAATTTCAATTTCAACGGAAAGCCGTTAGCGGCAGCTTCCCAGGTGGATATGGGCCTCTCAGCCTGGGGGCGCCGGCTCCCCGATTGATATGGAATTATGGAGTCTATTACCTTTCATTCATGACCTCAGGCACGCTATTATGATCGGTATGGTAATTGAACAAGCTGTTATTGTCCCTTCTGACTCGATCTCATTCTATTGCCAGCTTACTTTTACTAAACCAACTGCTATACATCCGATTTCTCTGATACATCTCCACTGTCGCAAGGATCAGTGCATTGTCACAGTGCTAAATCATGTTTAAGAACGGACGCCCCATTTTCCGGAAAAAGGGCTCCTCATCCAGTAAAATGGATGAGAGTGCCTCGGAAACGATTTCGAAGTCCTCCGCGGCAGCCACAGTCAACAACGTGCCTGAGACTACGACCACTCTCTCTTCGAACCCTGTCGCTTCGTCCTCGGCCCCTGTAAAGGACAAGCTAAGTACAACAACGAACCCCCCTGCTGGAAAAATTGTTGCTGACTCAAGTGACTCCACCAAGCACCGTCCTACCAAAAAAATGGAGTCTCTTCAAGCCTTACGATACATCACGGCCTTGCAGATGGTGTACTTCCATTATTTTCAAAACACACCTTGGCCTTTGTTCAATCGAGCCAGTGCATGGGGTAATTCACCCTTCACCTTCATTCTGATGCTTTCTGGCTTTGTCATGTCCTACGTGTACGGACGTAACGACAAGAAGATCGACGTGACGGAATTTCTTATCAAGCGATGGGCGAATCTCTACCCTCTCTATCTCGTCACCGTTATCGCTGGGTTCCTTCTTATTCCTTCGCAAGTCCCGCAGCCGTTGGCTATGCTATTTATCCTCTTAGCAGGCGCCAGTGGTTTCATCCCTTCCGCCTTCATCAACGATATCAATACTCCGGGATGGACAATTGGAGCGCTCTTCATCCTCTATTCCATCTTTCCTTTCTCCGTGCGCATGCTCAAAGCGTGCTCAAGGCGCACCCGGATCTTTGTCTGTATGCCGATCTTCTTCGCCTGCTCCATCGCCAAGCCCGTCTCGGATCTGTCGGTCAATTTGGGCATCCTAAGTGGCTTGGTCCGCTTGGCCGCCTTGTCCTCCATCCCGGATTTCCTTCAGGGAATCAACCTTGGTATTCTCTTTCTCGAGCACGATTGGACAAAACATCCCCTTGTCCTGCAGAAATTCGGCATGAGCGCCTGCTTGTTGGCGCTCTGCTGCATTTTCGTCTTCGTGGACCTCTTTGACCTGCCCGTCTTCTTCCAGCTGTGGCGTGCCTATGGCATGTTGCAACCCCTGTGGATGGCCGTCATTTGGTACGCCGCCCACGGCAAGGACTACTTGTCCCTCATCTTCGAGCTCCCTTTCATTTCGTACCTGGGGAACACGTCTTTTGGGGTGTACATCCTCCAACAGCTCCTGATCGATTACAAGTGGAAGAACGACCCCTTCCTGCTGATGAACAACCATCCGCAGCTCCTTTCCTTCTCCCTTATTTTGACGGCCTTGGGTGCACTTGGATATCATTGCATCCAATTGCCGTACCAGCCGTACATCAGTCGGGAGGGCAACGCGCTGTTGAAAAAGTTCCGCGCCTCCCGTTGGGGCACGGCCTCCAAGAGCCTTCTTTTCCTGATTGCGGACACGTGGATCGGACGGGGGCTGACCTGGATCGCATTCTACGTCGGATACCTCATCTACACGAACTACCAACCCTGCCTGCCCGTTGACTTCGACCAGAAGCTTGTCAACACACGGTGGTTCACCCGGAACGATTGGAACTGGCTCATCAATTGGTACATGACGCCGTGCACACCCCGACGGCTGATCCCCATCGAAATCAGCGACATTATCGAGTACGCGGCCATGGGCCTGGCTGCCCTGGGGCTCTTGGGGTACGTCCTCAGCTACCTGGGGGGTGCATCGAAGGTTTTCTCGCAGCCGGGCCAACGCCCCACCCGGAATGTGGATCTCAGCGATGTGGAAAGCGCCGTGGTCCTGCGCGTCGTCTGCAGGTCTCACACGCCCGCCGATGAGATCACCGCCACATTGAACCGCCTGATCGACGTGGCCTCTGAATTGAAGACCCAGTACCCGAGCAAGACGATTGCCCTGGAGGTGGTCGGAGCGGCGGGGACTTACGACTACACCCTCCCTGCCTCCCTCCCGCCGTCGTCCTTGGACGTCACCCTGCTCAACATGCCATTCGAAGCGGCCCGATCTCGCAGCCAGACACAACCCCAGGATATGATCATCAGCCTTCCGGTAGGCGCCCGTCTGGGCAGTGCCTCCGCCATCCTCCGTATCCTCTCCCAGGCGTCCAGTAAGGCCGTGGTGGCCTTCTCTCTTGGTGTGGACGGCTCTGACGAGGTCCTACCCAGTCTGGGCACTTTGGCAGAATTGAATTTCCAAGCACCTCTTTCTCGCCGGCCCTGCCTTTTGGTTGGCACGGCCGCATTGCATCGGAAGCTTTCCAGCTACGCCACTTTCGCGGCCTTGGAGCACGGGACGCGGGGTTCTGACCTCTTAGCCCTTGCACCCGCTCCCTCGTCCTCCCTCCCGCTCTCCCTTGGGACCTTCCACTCTACCCCTTCCCTGACCGCCCACCTGGCCCGGCGACGCGCTTTCCTCAAGCGGGCCACCGTGGACTGGACGTCGACGGAAATGGCCGCGGAGGCCTTTCGCCTCCTCTGTGAGAGCGCCTTCCACCTGGGCTTCGTCCTTGCCTTCGCCGTCGTCATTGGGACGCCGGTCCACATTGTGTATGCCCCCGGCAACTACTGCAACTTCTACTGGTACGTTCCGGCCTCTCCCCATGTTCCAACTTTTGAAACATGGCTGGAGGGCTCTGTGGGAGGGATGATGATGATTCTTAATTGTACCCGCGTGCACCCTACATCTGTCTAGTGCTTGAGTGCTATCTTCCATGGGCCGTGGATGTGTGGTATACGGTGGCAGGCGTCTTTCTCGTTGCTGGATCCCGCCCTCCACGCTGGGCTCACCCTGCTTTTTCCCTTCCCCTTTTCCTTACGCTTTCCCTTCCCCTCGCTGCTCACGCAGGTCCAACCAGTGCACGAACGGCGTGGCAGAAGGGATGTACTTGTCGCGCGTGATCATGACCTGTATTTGTGCCATCTACACGACCGGTTACTTCGCGCGATTTTTGTTCGCTTTCCGACTGACGGAAGGCGGTTTGGTCCGTTCCATCATCTTGACATTCCTCCTCCTTTTCCTCCTACCTGTGACGGCTTTCGTGGAAGCGGGTCACTGCCTGTGGGCAGCGTTTGCTATGTTCAATCCAGGGGCGATCGGAGTGGAAAAACGGTCCACAACGCCCTCCTCTGTTGCCAAGCAAAACTCCATGGAAACATCCTTGTTCAGTCCTTCTGCACATGCATAAATAAAAAGGTTGTCGGTCGGGAAGTAGGCATCAAAAAGGCTGCTTTTGGGGGAAGGGGAACTTTGAGGCAGAGCTCACGTGCGTCAAAATCTCAGTAGCTCGTCAGCTACAGAGGCGCGAAGCATGGACGTGAACGGAAGCCTGATAGCGAACGATAAAGGTGGGAGACGAAAGAAAGCAAGAAGAAAAATTGCGGAAACATATTGTAGACAAGACACGAAGGCGGGAGTGGGGTCCAGGAGAGTGTCCTCCCATGAAACTGCAGTAGAAATTTCACAGAAGAGCGGGCCTGGGAAAGGGATATGATTGTAAGGGTGTCCACAAATTGCATTGTTTACCTGGCGATGGCAACGATTGTGAGGGTGTGTGAGAAGAGAGAAGCGTGATGATATGACGGTATGGGTTTGATGAAGAGCATTCGCACTGACACACAAAGGGTTGGAACCAGTCCTAGTCATGGTGGGCCAGAATTTAGAGATGCAAGTAAACGTGATCACGCTGAGGGGAAAAAGGCATGAATCACAAAGCTTTGAGGAAAAATATGGGATATCATTGTATTGTCACAATATGAATGGCACAAGTGTGAAGCAAATAGAGCGAAGATATAGAATGATAATGTAGTGGCGAGATTGAGCTACTATCTTATACCTGTAATCAAGCCCTAATTGACTTTTCGTGGACGAGATTTTTGCCTCTTTAAATCCCAAAAAAACAGAGCATGGGTTGGTCGCACATGAAAGCAATGTGGAGGGATGAAACAGGCCGCAGCATGTGTGACGCTCTACCTCGACACTAAAATCCTTACCCTTTTGACCTCTGACCCTTTTGATCCTTTGAGTTTTCCTTCTAGTTCTCTGTACTTACATTGACCGGTAAAACACTGCGATTGCCTGCCCTCATTACATACAGAGGCAGCGTCCCCACTAATCCTGCACAGAGCGGCCAAATTTTTCTCTCTTTAATCATTATATTGTCCGCTCCAGAGTCTAAACCCTGTATATTAAGGCCGCTGCGCCGAGTCCCTTTTTTGGTAAGACATTCTTGAGAGCTCTATTGGCACCATCAGCGCTCGACATGCTTCGGCCTTCAAAAGGTTCGGACTTCTTTGCCCACCTAATCCATGCGTTTTCTGATGTAGAAAACTACAAAGAAGTCACGGCCCCGATGTATGCGCCCAACTTGCTTCTCCTAGAAAGCAGAGCCCTATCCACTCGGGTAATAGCAAGGACTTTATCAGAGACCGGGTCCCTGTCCCTTCTCCCCAAAAGGATGCAGGTAAGCCCGTAAATCCGACGAAGGGGACAGCCAAAACAGCACCACACGGATCTCTCTTCCCTTCCCTCCCCCCTAGGCCAAATAACTCTCCAAACTCTCCCCACTCAAGTCTTCAATGTAGGCAATGGTAGTCTTACATTCCTCCACCACCTCCTCCCTCTCGTCCTCCAATAGTTCGCTCAAGTAGGCAATGCTCTCCGGCAGCATGGCCAGGTACTCCTCGCCCACTACGACGAAGGTCTCTCTCAGCGTCCGCAACGCCACCCAGCGGACCTCCCAGGCTCGTGCCCGAGTCTGCATGAGCACCTGATGGTGGTAAGGCTTCCACAACACGTCTTTCCCCGCCGCCAGGGCCATGTAAGCGAGGCAAGGGATGAGATTCGCCTCCGCCAGTGCCCGGTAAGTGGAATTAGCAGAGGGGGAGGAAGCAGGAGGGAGGAAGGAGTGGAGGCCCGTTATCAGTCCCGTGAGGAGGGGAAGAATGGCGTCAAAGCGCGTTTGCGTCAGGAAATTTCCGTCCTCCTCGCCCTCGTCGTCGCACTGAAAGCACTTGGTCAAAGCCGTCAAGATCAGGGTGATGAGGATCGGGCCTTGCTTCTCAGGCTCCAACCCGCCCTCCATCCTGTCCTCCCCGGTGGCTCCCTCCTCCTCCCGCCGACGTTTTTTCTCCTTCTTCTTCTCCTTGGAGACTTCCCCGTTGTGAACGGCAAGAATGCTGGAGGGCACAGAGGAGGAGGACGGGATGGAGAAAAGACGTAAGTCTGCTTGAATGTCGCTCCAGATGTAGCCAAAGTATGGCACAAAAATGCTCTGCAAGGAGGAAAGAAAAGAAAGGAGGGAAGGAAGGAATGAGGGAAGGAGAGAGGAACGGAGGAATGAAGATGAGAGGAAGAGTGAGGTAGGCTCCCATGTGTGCAGAATAGAAACCTTCTCTCTGTCTTTCGCGTCGCTCCCTCCTCTCCGCGAAATTAAGTCTCATTAAGACCGTCCAAGGCACGCGCACCCCTCCCGCCTATCTCCCTTCGACCCCACTGCATCTACCCCTGACCCCACTTCGATCACAGACTCCCATACAAGGATATCCACCCAGGCCACGCCCTTTTCGATCAACCGTAAATATAGGTGCCGCCCGCCCGGGGATCAAGGGCCATCTGGAAGAAGTCAAGCAGAAAAGAAGACATGACGGTGTTTTACCGACCGCACTTCCTCCCGCCCTCCCTCTCCCAC